TCATGTCATACCCGTGGCTTCTCTCGTGCGTCTGTCTGGATGGCAAGGACCCTAGGTCACCTCTGCCCCTGGAAGCTGGTTCGCAGGTGGACAGTGAGATGCTCAAAGCATATTGCATGAACTTGTGAATGAGCTTTGGGACTAGGTCAGGGTGGCTCCCATAACATGTTTCTTTTCCTCAATTTTCTTCATCTTTAAAAGGAAGATTATAAGGTAGATAAATGAGAGAAAGTTTGAAAAACAGTTTTCATAATGCTTGGCACATAATAATAAATATTTGGTTTTTTAATCTTCTGTCTGTACAAGGCCTGCTCAGTTTCATGCCCGCCTCACTTGGAGGGAAATGCCTCACTGATAGCAAAGTTCCCACCTAGTCAGTGCCTCCGTGCTCTTAAATAAGTACTGAAGACTACCCAGTCAGCCCGTGTTTATGCTGGTCACGTGCAAGCACTCGACTTTTGTACCAACATTTCGCCATCACTCACCACACATGCTTACTGCCTCCCTGTTAGGCACACACAGCATCTCTCATACCTTTAGCTCAGTCATCATACTAATCCCAGGGAAACTCAGCTCTGTGGATTTCTAACCCAAGTGTGGTCCCCTTTTTAAGAAATGTTTTCTTCAGTGCTTAGGGTTGATCTTTTATGCCAACAACAATAAGCACAGGTAGTCCTCAGTTTTCATTTGTTCCACTTTCACTCAACACAATTTATTCTTATTATATTTTGGAACCCTTATGTTGTCTTTCTTATGAGCAATTCAGCCTGCCCATGAGCTAATGAACATGGAAGTTGTCCTGACCCATATGCCTGCCAGCCAGCACTTCAGTACCAGATAATTGCCATCTTTATCTGTAAAACAGAATTTGTGTTATTATTGGAATGGTTTTATCACCTTTTCCCTTATTATTTAAAGAAATAAGACATCTCCCAATCTTTTAATTTTTTTATTTTAATTTACTTATTTCTTTTTTTGAGATTGTTTTGGCTTTTTAAAAATTACTGAGGTACATAGAGTAAAATGCATAAATCTTAATGTACAGCTCAATGAAACGACATGTGTGTACACTCATGTAACCATTACCCAGATCAAGATATCAAACATACTATTTTTTTCCCCCATTTCACCTGTTTTGGCCATTCCCTTACCCCATCTCCCCTATGGCAATGACCACTCTGTCTATGGATCTGTTTCTGTTTGTTTGTTCTTTTGTTTTGTTTTTCAGATTAGTGAACTCATATGATATTTGTCTTCTCTGACTTATTTCACTTAGCATAATTACCCTCTAGGTCCATTGATGTTTCAAATGGCAAGATTTCATTTTTCTGGCTGAGTAATATTCCAGTATGTGTGTGTACACATATACCACATCTTCTATTCATCTATCAGTGGACATTTAGGTTGTTTCCATATTTTGGCTATTGTAAATATGCTGTAGTGAGCAGGAATGCACATATCTTTTTGGACTAGAGATTTTGTTTTCTTTGGGTCAGTTCACAGAAGTGGAGTTGCTGAGTGGCATGGTGTTTCTGTTGAGTCTTCTGAGGAACCTCTGTACTACTTTCCGGAGTGGCTGCACTGATTTACAGCCCCAGCAACAGTTCCCTCCTTATCTTTCTTTTATTCATTTCTTAACAGTTTATAACAACACTAAGAAATCCCCCCCATTAATTCCTTCCCGCTCTGACCTGAATTTCTTCAGTCTTATTTATTCTATTTCAAATAAGCTGAAATGGAATTTAAAGAAGTCTTCTTAGCAAATTAATTTTCATTATCTATATTTGGGTGATTTATGTTTAAAGTACTGTAACAACTACTTTCATATTGTAAAAGAAAGTAAAATATTATGCCATATTTAGTGATAATAAGTTTTGGCTTTCTGGGAATTTTTTTCCCATATAACATGTAATTAAATGTAACTTTTGGGGTTCATTTATATGGCTTTCATGGTTGTTTTGAGATTTTATATAATGAAGGAAAGTCAGTAACTTTTATCTTCATACTGGGATCTCTGTTTTGTGCCCTGCTCTGTGATGTATTTAATTCTATAATTCACACAATGTCTAGAACAATTTCTGGAGTTCATTCAATTGAATTTTTAGTTTATAGTGAGCATTTATTATTCAAATAGTGATTCTATTGAGAAATACTACAATTGATAATCAAATGAATTATTTGGAATTTCAATTGACAAATGATGCTGTATTATACACATAATGATAAGGATGATAAAGTTGATGGTCACCTAGTAACACAATGGGAAAAGATTCTGAGTGTATGTTTGTATATGGAATGCACCAAAAAGATAATGAAACATTTTTTTCCTCATCACATTTTTATTGAAGAGATATATAAAACATTATTGCATTCAGTAATACATTGCAATCAGAAATATCTAATTCCAAAAAGGTAATATTTTAAAAATACTTTTTCCTGAAACAAGTTTATAAATACTCTCTTCTTTTTTTCCCTTTCCTTTCACCTGATCAGGCTTTTCTAAGAGAAACCCTTTGTGTATTTAATAATGCTGTCCCTCCAGGTGATTCTATGGGGTAGGATATAGGACTCCAATTATATACTATTACATTTATTAATTAAATCTCATTTCTGGGGCTTCTGGGTCCATTTTCAAGCCTTAACACAAATGCGGTATCGTCTTGCTTCCTGCCATGAGTCGGCGCCCACCTCTAAGTCGTGAGGGGGAAGCCTTGCCCTGTGCTTTCTGTTTTCTCTGAGACCGTGTCTTTAAAATAAACCAGTTTCAGAGGCTTGAGTCATATGCGAGTGACACTGGCCACCTTGGAATGATGGAAGGAACTGCTCTTCATGGATAATGCTGACAGAAAATGTGAAATAGTTCTGGTCTTGTTTATGTGGCCAGTATGGAGGAGGTCGTCCACCAGAGGTACATTTCCTCTTTTGGAAACACCCTTGAATCTTTGCATATTGATAGAGAAATGGGAGAAAAGTTCACAGAAAAATGTTGAGCACCTTACATTTAATTATTCCCTTCTTTTTTATAATTCTTAGAATTATCGGCCTAATAGAATGCAAACTGCGAGAGAGGGATATCCATGTCAGGATATGTCTCAAGACTGACTGCAGGCAGAATGTTCATGGCTGGTTGTTAATTGAGTGTTAAGATGACCATGGTACCAGTACTCCTGGGATACCCCGGGATTTCATCAAACAAGGTAATACAATGTAACAGAGTCCTGGTTGTAAATAACTAAACTGAGGAATGACTATAGCAACTGGCAATACATGTAAGAAAAGAAAAGAAGATATGTAAGTGGAAAAGATAGAACAAAATATTAATAACCCTCTGGCATTACATTGTTTTAGTCATTCTATAGTTCAACTCCATGAAACCTATTTTATTTTATTTTTTAAGAGATAGCTTTTTTTTTCCAGTTAGAAAATAGGAAAGACAATGTAACAGGTTAAACTGGATCCTTGCCACTTCTGATGAAGTCACAGTACTGAGAAATGTGCTGGCTAGAGGACCTGGGCAAGGATTCAAGATTTGTGCCACAGCTAGCTGGTTGTGGTCATTTTTATCTCCCGAGTTCTAGTTCATCTTTGGTAGAATGAGGGAATTGTACAAGAGATCGTGTGAGATGCCCCAAACTCTACAATGGGTTTATTTAAAGGGACAGGTTCAGCAAGAAGCCTTGTAGTTATTTCTCTCCGAAAAGAATAAGACCTAAAATAAATTTATTCCCTTTACATTATCTTCCCAGTCACATTATAGTTACAACTATGTAGTTTACATATTTTACAGTTAAATAAAACCATCTTGCTAGAAATTCTTTCAAGTCACTTTTTGCTTACTAAAAGTAGGCAGTTGCCTCATGTTTCCATGTCATTCATTCAACACAAGCAGCAGAGTTAAAAAAAGAAGCAGAGCTTGGTAATGGACTTAAATATTTTGTTAATTATTGTCTAAAGAAGCTCAAAGCCATATTCCCAGAGTTTTAAGTCTAGAATCAATTGGAAGTTCTATGAAGACAGGAATAATGTCTGTCTTCTTCACCTGAATATCCACAGAGCCCAGACCAGCACTCAACACATAGTATCTTCTAAGTAAATATTGTTGAAGTAAATACATTGTTGAATATCTGCATAATTACAGAGGTGCTTTTGGGGAATATCTGGTTGCCAGATGAAACCTCTATGACTCAGGTCAATGAAACTGACTAAACCATATTTCATATGGCTTTCTGACATAATTAATAAGAGTAGAGAAAAAAATCTTTGTAAGGGGAAAAAGTTCTAATATTTCCCCTAAGAACTGCTTCTACTGTAGTGTCATAATTCTGTTGCTATTCTAGATTGATTTACAGTTAGTGATATAAATAGTGAAGTGCAGTAAACATTCATCCTATTGATTTGTGTATATGTATAGCTACACATATATATAATTCCTTTTGAGGGACAATTTGCAGTGATGCATATCCTAAATATTGTATATCTTGAGGAACCATTTAAAGGGACAAATAGTCTCTAATGTTGGATGCTCCAACTTCTTTCCAATTTCCTTTCAGAAATGTACATTTCATTTACCTATTTAATGAAAATTTTTAATAGAACTATTTCTCTAAAGCTAAATATGACTGGTGAATGCAGACAAGACTTGTTTTGCCACCTCAAGAGCAAGAGTATTTGGTTTCCATGACCTGTTCTACCAGCCCATAACCTGTAAGATTTCCCTGTGAGTTTTGTGCTATTGATTAGACAGTATCTAAAGATGTAACACATTTTCTTCAAGTTTTTTGGCACACTATTTAAAATCAGAAAGAATTTAAGAAGGCTGATTGAAAGTGCTTAGCCATAGTTACCCTCAAAAAGTTGCCATCAAAGTGATATTAAACTTAGAATACTTGAATATTTGTTGACTGTTAAAATGTTAACTCTAGGACATTATACATTTTTGATGGATCTTTTGGTGATTACAAGGTGCAAGGTCTCCATGTAGAGTACTGACCACCAATCGCTTACTGTTGGGAGTAATGCATGTTGCTATACTGTGTCACTCTCTGTTGAGATGTCATTGGTGATGTGGAACCAATGGTTTGGCTTATGTGAATGTCTGGACTCACCATTTGTGTCACTTGAATTTCTGGCCCTACCAAAATACTGCCACTCATCACAGGTCCCATACAACCATCAGCTAAGCTGCTGCTGCCCATGTCGGTCATAGCAGGACCGGACAGCACTCTCTCCGTGTAGATTACATTGTGTGTGTGGGTGAGCTCAGCAGGTACACAAATGTTCCCGCGGACTTCATAGACGGGCGCCATTAGCGTTTCCGTCACTACAACGCCCGGTGCAAGCTGGGGATCGAAAACAGTCGTAGTGGGCTGCACACACTGGTCAGTGGTGGTGTACATCTCGGTCACTACAATGTCCTCAGGAACCATGGGTTCTGGTGCTGCCATTTCTGCCTGGAATTCAGCCTCTGAGAGAGTCACTCCTGAAGAGTCGTTGAGAAAGTAATTGGGCCCAAACAAAGGGAGGTCGGTACTGATGGGGATACAGGCCAGCTGTGAAGGAAATTGTTCAATCTCTCTGTCTAAGCAGATTTCGGCAAGAGTCCTAAATTTCTGATCTAAAGTTTCCATGTAGCTGTCATCCAGGTCATCCAGGATCCAACTGCAGCAGCCGATGGAGCCAACGGGAGACCCAGCCCCCTCGCCGTCGTAGATGAGCAAACAGTCGTTGGCTGGACGGCCTTCGTCTTCATCCACATAAGCATAGGCTTTCTGAAATGAGAAGCAAAATAGGAAGCTAGAGGCTTCTTTTCTCTTAAAGTAATTCAAGAAGAATGACAGTAATGCTTGAGAGACATCTGATCTAAGCAGCTTTTATGAAAAGAACTGAGAAATACACAGATTCTTTGCTGTATTTCTAGACAACTAGAATTTTTAAAGGAGATCAGTGTGTATTAGCGGTGCATAGAATTTGAATAAATGTGAGTTTCTTTTACTTGCAAGCTAATAAATGATAATTTCTAGATTTTATTCAGATTTTTAAATCAAAGACAATGTTTTCAGTTATTGGATTTATAGTCTTTTGTGTCTGAGGTAGTCTAGAAATAAGAAAGCATATTTAGGTATGTTCAGAATGTAATTTAAGGAGAGATATTTGATCAATTTGGAGTAAGGCACGTATAAAAATGTACTGTGTCTAAGCTCCAGACCGCATGTCAGAATGTTCAGTGAAGTGTGGCCTAAGTGAGAGAGCTGGGGTGCTTTTGAAGTTAAGGTTAACAGCAGGAAGAGTCTGTGATTTTTAAATAATTTTTAATGACAGACTCTACATGAAATCCTAAGTAGCAACCCCATACATAGAACTAGTAACGGTGGGACTTCTCTGTCTGAGGGGGGTGGAGTAGCTGCCAGGTCTTTCCCCACCTCCCTGCGACCTCCCTTGATGGGTCCCATGAAATCTCATAGGGCCTGATATAATCTGACCCCCTCTTTTTTACAAAAAACGTAATCTAACACCCAGAGAGAGGGAACGGCATGCCTGAGACCCAGATAAGTATAGAATGCTACTTCAAATCCTATCCTTTTCGTTCTATGTCATCCTGTTCTCCCTCTGGTCGTACCAGAGTCTAAATTCTACCATTAGAAATGAATGATCTTAGGTCTTGAAATCAATTTTCATGAAATTGGTACTACTGAACACTGTGCTGTTCATGTTTCAAATGGTGCCTCTGTGAGAGTTAGCTGCTGGGGTCAGGGCTGGAGTCAAAATCACTAGGGAAGAGGCCCTGGCCTAGTTTGGCAGAGTTTCACCTGGAAGCTGCATCTCACTTCTGAAATGTAGGGCCATGTTTTTAAATGGGAGCTGAGATGTCTGGGGAAGGACCACCTCAGTGCCCACAGGGAAAGGAGAATGCACTTTGATTCTGTTTGTCCTATGAGGCACCCACGGTAGCTGAAGGAAAAAATGTCCAGTGTGATTTTTGACATTAGTGGTAAAGCTCCTTTAATATTAGTGTGATTTTTTAAGATTCATTAACTGTAATTTCTGTGGCATTTCTATGACACAGATGTAATTTGTGCTCATTGTTGAATGCATTTTGTGGTATGTATCAATTAGTCATTTAAATAATCTGTACTATTCATGCACTGCAACGGGGTTTGTGGCCATTGATTTTTAAGATACAGTCACAATTACAACAGTGTCCTCAGCATGCTTTGTTAAGAGCAGTGGTGACACTCAGGTATTACCCTAAAGGCTGTGAAACAGGCTAACTGAAGTAGGAGATGCATTGGGCTGCTGATTCAGTGACATAAATGTACTGATGAGGAATTCACAGGAGGATCGCACACCCTTGGTGCTGCCTGGTTAGGCCAGTGCTCTTTGGAAGCTCATACAGCCAGGATCCTGTCTCTTCCTGAGGAACCCGTAGTGGATGGGGCCCTGGACGGCGAATGGGACGCACGCCGTGGGCCCTGATCTGTCACCACGTTGTCCCGGCACTCTCTTCCTGAGCTGCCACTCTCTTCCCCCTGAGACTTTGGCTTCTCTTGTATTTTTTCCTCCCTCCTATTTGAGGAAACTTCAGGGCAGGAAAGATGCCATAAAGAGAGGACATGGATACATATTTTTTCCCTTGATCAGGATCTTCCTGCTTTGCTGTTGCTATGGGCAACAAAGTGGGGAAACCAGAAGGAGACATAGGGCAGGAAAATAGAAAAAGGAAGTGGAGAGCGATGGGAGGGCCATTAAGTTGGGTCATGTCGACTGAATATGAAATGTTTTGGTAAGTTGCCTTTCTGTAGCCTAGAGAGACATGAAATATTTCTTATTCAGGATCAGGGTAGAGTTAGGAGTAACTGGAAGTATTTCAGAAGCATCTACTGCCATTGTTATGATTATCATTCAAGTGCCAAGGCTGTGTTGTGTAACTGCGCAGAGGAATTACCTCTGAGAAGTAGCTGTCCAGGAAAGCCATGTTCAGGCCGGTGTCCACGCATTCCCAGTGGGCTCCTGCCGTGGCAGCCCCTCTCCACGCTGCTGCCACTGCTCCTCTGGTCACCGGGGCAGTGGCTGTCCCCAGACCCGATACACCACCTTCAGCCGTTCCTCCGCCTGCATAGGTGTTAGTGTAGATCTCTGAGAGGAGAGGGTGTTCATACATGTGAGTTGTCTGTTACTTCTGCATGGAAAGCCCTGCCCGCTGCCGGCTGCGTGACACCACCACATGACGAGTGGGCTCTGCAGAGCTGGGCAAGGAGTGAGGGAACTCGCTCATGACCTCAGCTTGCTGAGGAAATGAAAGTGAATGGCACAGAGGGAGGGAGCTGGCTGCTGGATCTAGCCTCACGTTTGCACAGCTTCGCCCCAGACACATTCGTAAGATACGGATGTGTGCGTGTCTATATACATATACTATATATATACATATATATAGTATATGTATATATATAGTAAATGAGTATATGTGTTTACTCCTCACAGTACTTTAAAGTAGGAACTATCATGAACTCAATTTCAAAGATAAGGAAATTGAGGCCCAGAGAGGTTAAGAGTCTTGCCCAAGGACTTAGTAACCAGCAGTGGCAGGGCTTTATTGAACAAACTTTCTGGTTCGAGATTGTCCTTTTAATGACTACACTGGTGTTCACTGCCTGTAGCTTAGGAGAGAAAATCAAGTGGCCCCTTCAGACCTAACGCTTTCCCCCTGATTACACAGTTGTCTAAGGAGATTGACAGATATGCCATTTTTAATATGAGATTTGTCTGGTTGAATAATTTTGCAAATTTGAAAAAGACGACTTTTTCAAGTGCCCACTGACCAGAGGAATCCATATGATCCTGGGTGTTGGAGGCCATCGTAGATGCACATATATTTGACACATCCTGAGAAGGAAGAAAAAGACTTTTAAAAACAAATGCATTGTGGTAAACATGTAACAGTCGGTGTTGTTTTCCCTTTTGTGTGGTGTCTGCATGTTCCCTTGGCACCAGCGCTTCCCCACGGTGTGGCAGCCCACTCACCGGGTCCTCGGGGCAGGCCCCTTCTTTCCCCCAGGGCTGCACGGCGCCTTCTCCCCCTTCAGGCACGGGCGCGAACCTGGTCCCTGGGCCTTCCGGCTGTCTTCTCTTACAGCAGCACATGAGCAGCATGAGCGGCAGCACTGCCGGTGAAGAGAAGGGGCCACACGTGTCGCTCGATTTAGCATCGTTTTTTGGAAAATGTAGTGTTATGTTTAGAATCAAACGGATAAATACAAATGTAAGAAAACATCAGTTTTTCCCTGAAGGATTGTATATGCATATCCATGTTTGTAGACACAGAACCACCAAATCCAAGAGACTGTTAGAGCTGCAGCAGAGGGACTTTGAGATCATGTAATTTGGATTCTTTACAGACAGATTAGGAAAGTTAAGGTCTTCTTCCCTCCAGTTCAAGACTACAGACAGGATGATGGTAGATACAGGACTTAAGCCCAACTTTCTGATGCCCAGTCCCCCATGTACATGCGTGTGCATTTATATATGTGTGTGTATACANATATATATATATATATATACATATATATGAATAAATGCGTGCTTATCTCCATAAGCATGTATAATCTGCCGGAATCTGGATGTGGATATGTGTACATGTAGACCATCTCTGTGCATTTGTATGTATATTTGCATGCCTGTATGGAGATCGATATGTACAAACCTATGTCACCTGACATAATATACACACAGATGTTAAACATGTAATCAACATAAGTTAGCAAAAGGATTGTATACAGGTTTCAGCTAGGGCCTAGAAATAGGATCATTTTTTTCAACTCCTGCTATAGTTACACCTGAAATCAATAAAATATCACCCACTAAATTTAATTGAGCTATTTACATGTGTTATTTTAAGACTTTGTCTACAAAGTATAATGGAAAATTCCCCTCAATTTCTATAGCTTAGTCCACAAATAGAGACCCTTCTTAAGTTCTCTGAGATTCTAGAATTTGCTTAGTTCTTAGGGTTCACTCTAGTTGCTTTTATGTTTTTCTAATTCCCCGGCAAAGCATGCACTCCACTGAGTGAGTTCAGCAGAGGCACAGAAGAAAATGGCAAAGCTGCTAAGTCAGAGCTTTTGTTGTTTTCATTGCAACAGTTAATTCACTTGGTGTAAACTTCAGAAGTCAATAGGAAGCCCATTGGGACTATAGGGTTTGTACTAAGACCCCTCCCCTCCACCATTCCACTGCTCCTCCCCTTCCAGAACAGACCCTGGCTTCTACACTGAGAACAAGTGACTTTGTCCAAAACTGAACAGTGCCCTTCCAACCCCCACACCCTGCTATTCTACAATTAATTTAACAACTCTTATGCTTCCTGATTCAGTAAGAGTTGTGAAATTTTGAGTGCTAGCTTGTGGGAAATGCCTCTGATTCTGGAGTTTTATCTCTGAACTGCACATTAACTTCCCTGGAGGGCTCAAAGCACACTGAAAGCTGGGTCTCACCTCAAGTACTCCTGGGGGTCTGAGTAACTTTTAAACACCTGCAAGGGATTCTAATGGGCAGTAAGGTTTGAGAACCATGGCTGAAGGGTGAGCTGACATGTCTGCCAAGTTACTGGATCGTGTTCTGGGGAAAGTTCTCTTATCACCATGAGAAGCACTCATTCATGTTCCTTGGGTGGCCTTGAAAGCTCTTATCATTTTAAGAAAGAAAATCTGCCCAGAAGTTGGTTTTTATTTTTTCACACCTCAAAATGACAACGTTTTGGTTTGTACTTATCCAGTGAAACATATTAATTTTACATTGTAAAGAATTTGGTCATCTTTAATTTTAGAAACCAATTTTTTATTTCCTCAAAACTTAAGTATTGCTGGGGCAGCCCTAAGTGCATTTCTCTTCTGAGGATCTGGAGAGGAGGGCCCTCACTGAAATGTTTGCTTAGAGACCTCGTATTCTTATGGCCATGGACCCGGTTCAGACACTCATCAGAGGTCCAGAAGCAAATTCCCTCTTCTAGGCTGTTCTCCCGCCTGCTCCCTGTGCCCTGGGCGGGCAGCTCACCTGAGCTCACGCGTCCTCACTGAGTCCTGGCTGCCTGTGGACGGGAGCCCAGATGCCCAGCCTTTCAGAAACCTGCCTCATGGTGGCCCCCAGCCTGCCTTCATCTGTCCACTTCCTGAGTGTGCAAGACTCGTTGCCTTCCTTTCCCTGCTTATATTGTGTTGGTCCTTTGTCCCGGACTTGCTTTCATATTTCCACACACACCATCCTCCTTCTAAGAAAATTCTCAGCTTTAGGGCCTGGCTCAAAGCCACTTGCCCCGTAAAGACGTTCCCAGCCTCCTCATTTGGACTTGACTGCTTCTGCGCCTCTACTCTTAAAGTACTTGTGAAATGTTCATGACAGGATTTGCTTTATGCTTTGCGATATTATATGTAGAGATTTGCATACCTTCACCAAGCCTACACCTTCTTATCATTATTGAACAAGTGCATACACTTTTCAGTCCCATCGTTTATTTCCAAATTTCCACAGAAAATTGCTATCAGTACCAAAATGACATGACCAAATTAACCCAGCCACCCCAGCAAGTCCGTGACATTCTGATGATGAAGAACTACTAAAAAGAGGGGTTTCATCTAGTACTTACGAAGCAGCAGTAAGAGGCCCAGAGCAGCCATGCTGATGCTCATCGGGCCCAGACCGACGTTTGAGCCCCCAACCCGGTCGTCAGTGGTAAGCACCTCAGTGTCACTGGTTACGCCCGTGTCGAGGCCCATGGTACTAGTGTAAAAGCACGTGTGGTCATAATCACAGTCGCAGGCCTGCAGCTGCACGGTCTGGGGCAGCTCGCACTCCCTGTTGTAGCTGTCCTTCACTAGGATGGGGATGTGGTACAGCGTGGGGTACAGAGGCTGCTGAGCCATCAGGATGGCGGAGGTAGCTGAAAAGGAAGGGAGGAAAGAGAAAATAAGATTCCTAGAGCAATGCTTCCCATACCCGATACTAACTCAGGGCCTGATTTTTTTCATGCTCCCTCTAGTCACAGAGTGCCTGATACTTAATTTTTTTGACATTTATAATCCATTGTTCAGAGGCTGAGTGAGACCCAGCTGCTTATTTCCAGAGCAACAATGCAGTACTTGGCATGCATTATAACGCAATAAATATTTGTCCCATGATTGAAGAGTATTGGGCTGAAAGAAATATTGTACATTTTCTACTTAAGATGACAGCTTACAAATATCCTTCTTAAGACTGTTATCTCTTATTCAAAACTGCTATCCTGTCATTTAAGATTATTCTAATAACTTTTATTTTCCTAATTCTTTGTGCTAACATTGCCTATTGTTTTTATAAAGACTATTGATTAAAACATAGGTTGGAAGTTATCAACCCCAGGAGATGATTAAGTTTACACCTAAACCATGAACAGTGGTTGATTAATTTTTAGTTCACAATTATTATTATAAATTATAATTAATAAGAAAATAATTATTAAATATAATGATTATCATGGGTTATTACTTTCAGTTATGTATGGTAGGCTAGTATCCCTACCAGAATGTAACTGTGCAAAGGTAAGAGCCAAATAAGGCAATGGTGCCACGTATTAGATGAAAGTTTAATCTATGCTTCAACACAGGCATTGAAGCAGGACTATAGGAGGGTTCTCTGCAATGTGTTTGCATTCTTTACTGGCCAGTCTATAACATGATTTGAATATTTGTATAAACCTCCATGTTGACTGTTTTTTCTTATATTTTTACTGATAATATCTAGGATCTGAATGAGGGAAGAGTGGCTAGCAATTGTTATTTAAGAATGGGAATTGGGGCTTTGTAGGGAAAGGTGAATTCAGAGTTGTGATTTTAATAGAATTGCTTTAATGTGCTCAGTTTTAAAAACTATCAAGTCGTTTTGTGGAAAATGCTAAGAGGTTTTATGGTGAAAATGAGTAGTTGCCTGATTTCCTCCTTTGATTAAGTGGGGGCACTCTTTTCTGACATCCCTTTAGGGTTGCTGCCTTCTATGGTCCTCAGGGAGGCCGGGAGGATTTGCTCTCCGCTGGGGCTCTGCAGCCTGACTGGCATCTCGTCACCCCCGCAGTCTTCGCTATTGCCCCGAATGAAGATGAGGGAGCTGTGGCAGCCCACAGGAGGTCTTCTGGCATTTCATTTTCTATTTTACATTTAACATCTCCGAAAAAAGAACCCAAGGTTTATAAAATGTTATCTTGCCTGAAATTTGCTGCCAGTTTTCATCAGCATCAGCAGTTCATTTTTACGGCAGCGGTCAGCACAAACGTGCGCTGTCCTGGGCTCTTCACACCTCCTGGGCTTTGGCCTGCGCATTCTTTGTAGCGTCCAAATGTTTCATAACATTCTAATTTTAATACTGTATGTACATATTTGTACTTGCAATATTGATAAAACATTTTTACTTGTATTTCAGTTCAAAATTTTTCCAAATATCCTAGGTGTGTACAGGACATTTGTTTTCATTAAATATGAATATGGCAAGAATCACGGAAACAGAGATAGAAAGCATTATTCTGTGACTTGACTAATTATTTGGCAGCTGTTTTTGCCTTTGGTCTTGAAGTATGAGCTGGTGTGCATACCACTCACCATTCACGGATCTGACGTCCCATAAGTCAGCTGACCCTGGTGGCTGGTCCACGACGCAGAAGGTGAAGGGAGCCCCGTAAGAGTGATCGTTGACATTTCTCGCAGAGATGAGGGTGGATGGGGAGGCGATGCAGACGGTTTCACTTTCAACAAGAACAACCGGACAGTAATCGTGGGCATCGGGAACTTTGACACATATGGTTCCGGTTGCTGTTTTCCCAGAACCATCTGAAACAGCAAAGCATCATGGGTTTTGGGGTAAAGGGTGTCCGGGAGAAAATCCTTTCTTACATCCCGTGATGATACCACAGCACAGAGGGGTAGCAGGGATGCCTACTGAGATGGTGTGCGATAGGTTCCTGCCCACTCCTGTGACCTGAAGCCTCTGCTGGCTGCCTCCCAGCATCCCTGGTTTCTGGTTCTCGTGGCCATACTCCCTCTTCCTAGAATGGTGTCCATCCCCGCTTCATTCTGCCAACTCCTACACATCATAAGATGCAAAATTTAATGTCCTTCCTCAGAGGTGTGCTTTCTACTCTCTGTCTTCGTAAGTAAGAACCTTTCATTCAGGGTGATTATTGAGCCTTGTGTTTGTGGAAATAACCACAATTGAAATTAAATAATTGTGGTTTTCTTTTCCTGTTTCACTGCTTATTTTCATTCCACCCATTAGATGCTATTTTTCCCTGAAGTGGCACTTGTGAAAACATAAATCTGTTAGATTTTTTCCCTAACCCATTTGAAACAAGTTTTGGGTTAGTATAGTTTATTAGAAAGGGCAAAGGATAAAAAAATAGGAGTCTGGGCTTTTAATTCACTTTTATATTTTATGTTGAATAAAGAATTATTTTTGTTTTTAATTTGCAAAGCATCTTAGTTTTTCATTTGTAAAATAGAACATTATCATCTTTAGGGCATTTTACTAGGTCATTTTTTGAGAAGTTAACTGACATCTTTTAAAGATGATTTTTGCATGCGTAAGTGGTAGAGGCATTTAGTTAATTGAGTGATAATAAACCAGGAGCCTGTTTGTATCCTACATGGCTTTGTGCAGTATGTTCCTATACCTCATTCACCCGGACTTTCCAGATTTAGGCTGTCGTTAGAGAGATACCAGGTCATCCCCTGAATGGTGTCCGTGTCAGTCTCTGATCCTCCAGAGCTTTCTTACCGCCTAGAGGTGTGACAGCCCACGGCTTGAGCTGCCGCTGCAGGGCCCGCTTCCTGCTGCCCTAGCTGTCTGAAGAGCTGTGTCTCCTCAGCTGACGACTGAGCGTCCTGGATGGGCTTATCTGGACCGTCTGGATGGCTCTCACCATGCAGATACTCTGCCTAGATCAATAAGCACTGGCCCTTGTTCTTAGTTTTCTGTCCATACAGACTGATAGTTTTTGCTCTCTTTGTTCACTTGAAATGACTATTTTTATTCCAGTTTTTGAAGATTTTCTCATACGACCCATGTATAAACATGGGCTGCAATCGACATGATTAGAATCCATTTTAGTAACAGGCCTTCTAGAATACCTACAACAAATATGGCTGGAATATTTGTTTAACTGACCCACATGTTTAAAGTGGCACTCAGAGCATGAGGGCCAGCATGCATGGACTGTGATTGCTTGGATGTTACTATGTTATTATGGTTTCTTTTTAAGTGTTATACTGTCTACTTATCTCTTTCTCCATGTTTGGTATTGTAAAGCTCAGATGTAAACTTAATGCAAACCTACAGTATCTGTTTTCTACTGGGTGTATATCTGGGACATTACTTCCCCCTTTTTCCTGGTTACTGACGTTTCTCTATTGTTTCGTTCTGTAGTAGTTGATTTTCTAGGCACTGAGAGTGATTCCAGAGAATCATTAACTATTTAAAAAAAATTATTTTATTAAGGTATGATTGATATACACTCTTATGAAGGTTTCACATGAAAAAACAATGTGGTTACTACATTTACCCGTATTATCAAGTCCCCACCCATACCCCAATGCAGTCACTGTCCATCAGTGCAGCAAGTTGTCACAGATCCACTATGTCCCTTCTCTGTGATACACTGTTCTCCCTGTGATCCCCCACACCATGTGTACTAAACATAATACCCCTCAGTCCCCTTCTCCCTCCCTCCCCACCCACCCGCCCACACCTCTCCCCTTTGGTAACCACTAGTTTATTCTTGGAGTCTGTGAGTTTGCTGCCATTTTATTCCTTCAGTTTTGCTTCATTGTTATACTCCAAAATTGAGGGAAATCATTTGGCATTTGTCTTTCCCCACCTGGCTTATTTCACTGAGGATAATGTCCTCCAGCTCTCATTAACTATTATAAATAAACTGATTCCTGTTGGTCTGTGCCAAGAGGAATGCTTAATAGTTTTTCCATGTGAGATGCAGCTCAATTACAAGTTAATTCAGTGCCTCTGTGCTTATGACTTTTATTTCGGATCTTATATTTGGAATAAACTTGTGAGTTCTTGGTCCTTAAAATCTTCCTGTGGCCGACCTGTCTAACCCAGCAACACTCACATGGGCCTTTCACTGTAACTCAGTTTTAGTGGTTCTAAAATAATTATAAACTTTGTGACACCGCCTTCCCCTCAGGTCACCCCCAAGTGAACTTTATAAATACCCTCATTATTTACTTAATGCAAACATTCCTAACATACTCTATAGGTTGGATTAACCATCTCAAGAGATAAGGCCATAATCAGAAACTGAATTTTACTTTATATATTTTAACTTTTATGCTTTCTGCTATAACATACAGTTCTTTTTTGGAATAGGTGAAATAAACAGTGGCTTAAATGTAAATTATGGTTATAAGCGTACTGAATTCATTTCTTGATTGAAGGTATTTAGAACTCTATAAGTCTTGCAGACACCAGTATATATTTTATTTGTGATTTGTGTCAATCTAATATCACCTGTAGGATAATATTTATACTTAATGCAATCATGATAATTTTATTGAAATATCAAAAATAAATTTTCTTACCGTCTATAGCCAGGATCTCTGCTGTGTATAGCCCATTGGTAATATATTTTGACTTCTTATCAAATTCCCTAGAAAACTGTATCTCAGCAGTCCTTGAATCTACTTTTAACCAGCTGCCTGCATCATGTCCTATGATATACCTGTTTTTAAACAAATAAATTCGTCATTTGCTTCTATGAAAGTTAATAATTTTAAGTCACATATGGTGTATTAAACTTGCATTTGGCATTTTCATGCTTTACAGTTATAATTGCTTTGGTTTATAAAATGTATATATATCTCAATGAAATTGTAGTATTGAACATATTAATGTATAGGTTCACAATAGAGCTTTATAATTTCATAATTCTTACTGTTCTAGCTCTTACTATACTTGTAATCAAATGTATGAGTCTGTGCATTCCATATCTGCTTATTAAATTGTAACAGCACCTACTGAGGGAGTACCCTTTATTCATTTTCACATGTGGTATGCTTTGTTTTTCCTAGGTTTTAAGGCATTTTGGTTTCAGGCTATCTCCGTGTAGGCCTTGAAAGGGCTGTGATTCATCTACTGAGTTCAGGTTTTGTTACATGTAATGGCCTTACTGGAGGAAGGTCTGGTCTCTGTACCAGGTACAGCTCCTAGTGTCCAAGGCATTCATATGACATATCGCTTTCCCCCTGTCCCACACAGAGAGACTTCATAATTTTCGTTGTCTGTCCATTGGTTAGATTATTAAGTAGTCACAACTGTTAATATCAAAGCAATTAACAAGCCAGTGACTTAGTTCACTTGAAGAATATTGGGAGAAAGAGGAGAGACAAGGAAAGGATATAGAAAATACCTATATATTTCATGATAGTTATTTTCCCGAATATCTTACTTAGGCCTAGCTCATGTATAGTCTATGCCCCTCGGCCCCTTAAAGCCTACCGTTCTCTTTTCCAATTTGGACTGTCTTTATGCTTATTGAATTTCTGGAACGCCTGTATTTTAGCTTTCTCTATTATCTTTTTTATCCTCAAATTAATCAAGGGGTTGGAATTAGCCCCAAAGTTATTAGTTAACACAGGTTTTAGGGAAACAAGCAGTGACTCATCTTTTATGACGTCCTGCTGTTTACGATGTGGCTTAATGAGCCCTGCTCCAGGGTGGCCCACTGACCACTGGAGATCAAAGAGGCTCCCAGGGCGACTGAAGGCTGCTCTTTGATCTTCCAGTTGCTTCCTGGACACATCTACTTTTCAACACTATTGAAATTCTGAGAAAATGTCAATGCCACAGTAGTCTTCTAAAACAAATGAACTTGAAAAGCAAGGCAAAACGCCGAAAATGCTGCAGCTCACATAACTAGCAACTGCCATGAGCGTCCACACGGGTCGGAGCAGTGCTTGCCCCAAGGAGCGTGAAACGCTCACAGTACCTGACGTTTGTCGCTGGGGTTCCCGTGTCCAGATCCACAGCTGTGTATGTGCCGAGCACGTGATGCAGTAAGGAATCTCCCCTGATAGCTTCTCGCACACTGAAGGTCATAGAATTTGGATGAAATGCGGGTCCTTCTCTCACATTAACAACCTGAATTCTCACAGGAGTTGAGTGCATTTGGAATTGGGAAGCAACTGAGTGGTGAAATTCAGCTTGGTTTTTAACTCCAATGCTCAGATGAATGTTAGGCATTTGTTCATAATCCAGCATCTGAGGTGATAGAAAGTACACAACTCTCAATCAGCCACAGGAGTCTCTTTTGCTAGAATTAGAAACCCTAATAAGAAAGCAATGTATTAAGTCAAGGAGCTCTGAAATTCTGACTTTGAACTGACATAAGTTTATTTATTGTTTCATTAGGTATTCCAAACATGCCACTCCCCTTACCTGTTGACATCTGGTATATAGGTCATTTAGGTATGTGATGTTAAATTGGATTCAAATTTTGGAGTTTTGGACTTCTTATATAAGAACCCTAAAATGAAAATGATCTTTCTTTCCAAGTGAGGTGTTTATGAAAACTTACAATGAAGTAAAAAATATAAATAAACTTTATAAAAAATAAACTTACAGTGAAATAAAAAAAGTTCAGTTATTGAACGAATAAGTAGGAACCAGGTTTCCTTTGTAGAATTCACATCTGAGAATCTCTTGAAAGTACAATCAGCATAATAAAGGTGCCAATATGTGTAATTCAGTTGAACATGTAATTAAGAGAAAATGATGCAAACAACTTCTAAAGGAGAGTTCATGATTATTACAGTCAGCCCTGAGCTATAATTTAATTTGCTGGGTCTGGTGGACAAGAAGTCTCCTTCATAGGACACATTCAAATAAGTGAATACCACACCCAGAGAAAAGTCAGCTTTGAAATGGGTTCTTTGGATAAAAGATGAATGAAATCTTTTGATCCAGAATAATTGGTGAGTAACATGAAAAGCCACCACAACCAATTCAGCACAGAGCTGAATATGAATTATGTACTCAAAAATGAATTTGTAATTGGAATAGATCTTCTCTTCCACATCCCAATTTTTATTTTCTAGAATTTCTGTCTTTAAATAAATGAAACATGCGGGATCCTTCCTTCTGTTGGGGGCATCTGGGGTTTTCGTGTGCATATACACACATGTGCTTTTCCACTGTCAGACTGTCTCTCTCCCTATTGAACAGAGCGTGGTGAAAATGCACTAACATGTATCTGAAGTTGGATGGATCATAGACACTCACAGGAGGCAGGGGCAGGAAACTGGCTGAGGGCTGATCTTCCCTCTATCAGAGATAATGAAAGGCAGATAGCAGTCAAGGCAGAGTCTCTCCCCCATTCTTTGCTAATGAGGCCCTTAATCAGGGGTTTTCTGATTGTGCCCAGAGGTCAGAGTTGTGCAAAAAGCAGTAGAAACAGCTGTTTACCCGAGTCTGCTTGGAGTTAGAATGGAAAGGCTGGAGAGACTCCATTTCTGCAGCTGAAGGCAGGATGGAAGAATAGTCCAAAGGATGTGTGGATGTGGTAGGAAGAGCTGAGGCTCTCCTTAGGGGTCTGGGATGGGGCTCAGGAAGTGCTCAAGGTGAAGACCGCTCCTCCAGAAATAGCTGGACTTCTGGTGGGTTTTTACTTCAGCAAATTTTAGTGTAGAAGCTAAGCTGTTAGATTCTCACGTCCAGGGCTTTTTGTTTTTGTCTAATTTACTGTGGCACTGCTAGTTCTCAGGAGATGTTGGTTCAGTTTAGAATAAAGTATGAAGGAGGGAGGAGGTTAGCATCTCCATTCCAAAAGGGCAGCTTCCCGTGAAGTGTCTGTGGGGGTGCGGATTGTATGCTGGGCTTTTCAGGAATTGACATTTTTTGGCACAAATGTGTCTGAAAGAGACCAGCAGGGCACACTCAGCAGGGAAGGTGAGCAGGGGAAATGTCTTAAGGTGCTGGTTCTTTCCTAGAGCTTGTTTTACTGGCCCCAGATTTCTCGTGAGGCTCTGAGACTCGGAGGTAGCAGTTAAGTGTTTGAAATCAGAAAGATCTGGTTAGATCTTGTCTGTCACGTGCTACCTGGGAGAATGTAAGCAAGTTGTTTTCCTCTTTGATTTTCACTTTCTATAGAAAAGAAAATTTCTTTCTGAGTGATGATGATTACATGAGATGATATGCAGAAAGCCTTTTTATACACAATAAAACCCATTAGCTGGGGTTTGGTGATTGCTTAATCAACATTACTTAGAAATACTATAAAAACAGAGAACCCATATTTCTTTATTAGAATTCCAATTAGCATTTTGCTTTTCTTCTCAATGTTAAAGTTAATGTAGATGCACACATGTATATTAATATTGTTTGTTAGTATTTCCATACACATTGATCAATAAGTACCAAAAAGAAGTTATTATTGACAGAGACATCTTTTACTTTCTTAAAGGTTTCCTCTGGTTACAGTGTAAGTTCCCTGACAGCGGGGACCATGTCTCATTCCCCTTCCCTAGCCCATAGCAATTCTCAGTAAATTTGAGGTGAACTTAATCATTTCTGAAGTCCTCAGAGTAAGAAACAGGTTATAGAAAATTTAGTCAGAAGCGCATGACTGAGGCCAGTCTCCTGGACACAACTACTCTTCAACACTATTGAATTTCTGAGAAAATGTCAATGTCCAAGGTTAAGCGTGGCTGGAGTAAAAATGGGGAGGGTACAAGGTGGCATTACTGACCCCATTCCAAATGCCAAATCCCGGGGAAATCACACATTTTCTAAATATATAATTCTTCTGGCTATGAGCCAACACACATAAAAAGGTTTTAACTTTTACTTGAATTAGCTTTCCCATATCACTTTGATATTTTTAAGCATATGCTTTCCTGTTCTCTTTAAGAGACTTGGGAAGCTATTCAGGAAAAAAAGATACATGCTTTGTCTACACAGCATCTAACACTACCTTGACCAATTTCATTACCATGAAATTTAATTTCCAGTAATGGGGTATTTTTTTGTAGGCAGATTCTGCCTCTGAGAGTATTTTAAACTACTGCAGAAGAAAATATTGCTGATCCCATACTATACCTTAACGACTTTCAGAATGCCTTCATTGGTTCGTGGGTCTGTTTGAATATTAAACCAATTCCCATCATTTCCAGAGAGAATTAAATATTTTGCTAACCAATTATCAGTGCCTTCTTCATCAAGATCAATTGCTTGTAACCGTATCAGTTCTGAACTTAAACAGTTCTCTTCGATTCTTGCCGAGTACTGAAATGACACAGATTTTATAATTTTATAAGCCATGCATTTTCAAAAGAGGAAAATAGTAATACATAAATTACCACTTAAAATACTGGCAACAGACTATGCTAGTAATTTCTGCACCATTAAATGCCACACAGTCATCAGAAATTTAAGAATAAATTGAATATATTAATAAGGTAACAAAACTGAATAAGATAATAAAACTTATTTTCTTATGCTGTGTATGAAATCAAGGTCAAACTAGCACTTGGTTTCGTTTTTCTTGGTTATTTTTAATTTTTAAGTTATTCCTTCCTTGTATGGTAAAGGGGCAGATAGCAAATGCATTAGGCTTTGTAGAATTCCTGTTGCAACTACTCAACTCTTCTTACGTAGGATCAAAATAACCACAGACAGGATGTAAAGGAATGAGAGTGTAGCTGAGGTGCTGTGAAGCATTTATTCACTAGAACAGATGAGCCACATTTGGCCCTGCTAGTTTTGATTTTATGCTTCTTTATGCCTAAAGATGGAAATGGAAGTTGAGAATGTTTGAGGCTTGTAGAATTAATTCAGCAAATCAACAGGCATGCAAAGACACATCAACGTTATTTCATGATTCTCAGAGTTATGTTAATAAATTTCCACATTTCTGTAAGAGTGTGGAGGAGGTGGTCTGTTGTTTGTGCAGAACAGTGACTCAAAGGCAAACATGGCATTATTAAGGTTTATTATTATTATTACTGAAGTTAATTGAAATGCAGTATCATTTCAGGTATACAACATTGTGATTCGATATTTATGTACATTGTGATATGTACACTCAGAAATATCACCCTAATAGGTCTGGTTACCATCTGCCACTGTACAAAGTTAATAAAATATCATTGACTATATATGTTATATTATTATCCATAAGAAGCTCCAAGGTTTATAAAGCATTTTCCTCCATATTTGTAAAGGAACCAGGCTTACAAACTAGTGGGAAAGCGAATCAATTATTGACACTTAGGGAAAAAAGTTTGTAAGAGAAACAACTTACAGAAGTTTTCTCCAGAGTGGGGAAATTATCATTGACATCTAAAACCTTGATTCTGCAGTTGCACTCAGAGGACAGTCCGTCTGTAGCTCCATCTCGATCTGAGCCTCTCACGAGGAGGTTATATGTACTGTGTTGCTTGATTGAGATGGAAAAGAATCGTAAAACTTAGATCTTGTTTTGAGTGAAATCCAATACATTCTGATGTTGTTAATTCCATTTGAAAGTAATTTCATATAATCTTGTAATATATTTTTTCTTTTCACAATTTTTCACTTGCAAATAATGGTTGGATTATTTTTCTTTCCCTCCTTTCCACTGGAGGAAAGGCATCCATTAATTATTTCATCTTTGTCTTTTCAAATGAAATTATTTATTTCTTATCATTAATTCATAGAAGGTTTTACCTCTCTGTCAAGGAAACTGGACATGGTGCGGACTTCTCCAGTGTACCTGTTCAGGATGAACACTGGTGCCCCTGCCGGCTCCTGAGACATGATCTTATAGGCAATCTTAGAATTCAGATGATTGTCTTCATCTGCATCGGTGGCACTTAACTTTATAACCAGTGTGTCTAGAAATGAAGGTGGAAGTGGAAAATGTTTGGGACTCTTCGGATCAACTCAGCATACTTCATGCATAGGAAGAAAGAGGGGTTGGCCTTCTGAATTATCTCTGTTCTAGTTTTCCATGTGGATATATTACCACAACTTTTAACTACATCAAGGATTACAGAGATAACTGGTTTGTTTCTATAAAATTTTATAAATTTTTTTTGCAGTTTATAAATATTTGTACTACTTAAGTGATCAAATGATAAATTAGTAGCAAAATACACCCATCTTTAATGTATGAAAAAACTCAATACCCTTTATCATAGAGCTGAAAAACTAATTTTATCAATGTTTCTTGTCACCACCTTGTGAAATTATTGTAAAATGCTTAATTAAGAAAGTTTATAGCTTAATTAAATTCAACACTGAGATTATTTATTGAGCACCTATATTCTTTATTTCACTTACCCAAAAAGCAGAGAATTACTACTGCTTTCCTTGGAAGATAATAGTACTTTACCAAATAGTCAAAAATGTACAGTTGAACTTTGAACAATGTGCGTTAGAACTATATGGGTCCTCTTATATGGAGATTTTTTTTCCATACATATATTGAAAATTGTTTTGATATTTGTGACAATCTGAAAAAACATTTTCTTCTCCAACTTACTTTATTGTAACAATATAGTATATAATACATATAACATACAAAATATGTGTGAATCAACTGTTTATGTTTTTGGTAAGCCTTCTGGTCAATAGTAATCTGCTATTAGTAGTTAAGTTTTGCATGAGTCAAAAGTTATATGTGGGTTTTCCACTGTGCAGAGGGCCAGCTTCCCTAACCCCTGTGTTGTTCAAGGGTCAACTGTATAGCTATTGGAAAGATTTTTCCACGGGAATAGGAGTTCTTGATTATTCACAGGGACAAAGAACATGCACTTTCATGAATGCCAAGTACTTGAGCTCACAGGACAGAGGGAGCTAGTCCTGGGCTTGTTTCTGCTACCCAGCCACACTTCAGAGAACCAGGGACCTCTTGGGACAGAGACGGGTCTCGTGGAAGTCATGGTTATGAAAATATGCCTGGTGCTCTGGCTAATGTCCTCACACAAGGGAGCATTAACAAGGCTGCTAATTAGGCAAAACCTAATTGGGTCCTCTTATCCTGTGTTATAAAACAATTTGTGTTTCTTATTTTCAATATCCCTGTTTTAGAGGATCTGAAGAGTTCTGACACCCCTCTCCACCCCTGCCGGTTGTTACCTCATTTCTTGTCCCTTTTCTTTTCCTCCATCCTTCACTCTCCACCAGTACCTCTATCTTGTTTTATGTGCCTTTCTTCTGAAAGTTCTGTTTTCTTCTTTTTCCCCAAATTTTATTTAGAGGTATGCACACAGACATGGATGTGAGAGGTAAGGGATGTTAGAGGACTGGAGGAGGGAAGAGGCAGAAGGCAAGAAGGGAGGGAGGAGAGGAATGAAGCACTGCAGGGGAAGCAGAAGGGCAGAAAGGGGAGGTACTCAGGAGGAGTGGCAGAAAGAGGAAAAGAGAGAAGAGCCTTAGAGTGGGAGAAGGAAGCAGGCAGGATGGGAAAACAGAGAAAGTGAGAGAACGCGATGGAGCTTGTTGCGTAGACTGAGGCCTGCAAATGCACCCTGTGACGGCCCGATGGCTTCCGTTGCAGACACGCCCTCTGTTGCATTCTACCTGGTGCAGCTCTGCCCAGAATCGGAGGAATAGATCAGAACAGAGCCCCTTCACATCCGTGGTTTCTCCCTCAGTTTACTCATTTGGATTAAGTTAATCATTAGCCCAATACAATCCCTGAGGAAGGTGCTAAGTTCCTGCTAAACCACGTGGATAAGAATCCTCCACAAACAAGAAGATAATTAGCATTTTAGATGACTTGCTTTCTACATCAATTTTAAGTTAGAATTTGTGTGGTTTATTCAAAATGAAAGTTTGACATTCTATGATCTTTAAATTGCCATTGTATTTCAATCTCCTAAAGCTTTTGATTGAGAGGCATAGATACTATAATGAAGAAGAGGGGTGACCCAGGGAAATAGATACAGTGTAACACAGAAGATGGGGTGATGCAGAGGAGTCGATACAATGTAATGCAGAGGAGTAACTCAGAGGAATAGATACAGTGTAACACGGAGAAGGGGTGAGCCAGAGGAGCAGATACAGGGTAGCAGCAGAGGAGGCATGTTATCTACTTACTTGCATCACTGTTTTCTTCAATGCTGGCTGAGTACACATTTTGTGTAAAGACTGGAGGGTTATCATTTATGTCCATAACTTTGACTCTAAGCTCAAGAGGCCTTTCTAAATCTTCACCCCGTGAATTCAGAGCCCGGCAATAGATCTGTGGGAAGTTGGGCAAGAACTCTTTTTCTATCAAAGAAAATTAAGTAACATGCTTAAAAATATTTTAGGAAATGTGTAAAGAAACATTTTGCCCTATGAATTTGGGCTATATTATAGTCTAGTAATTTAAATATCATCAAGACATTTGACTACATACAGGTGCTACACACCAGAGGCTTCTGAACTATAAACCTGTATTTTCATATTCTTTCCAACTCTTCCTTTATTTGGTTTCAGCTTACTGTGTTTTATCAAAATTAAGCATTAGTTCTGAGATGATTATTTTTTATAAAGGGGAAAAACAAATATGCATAAATCAAAGCACATTGCTTGTGGCTTACCAAAAAAAGTGGAGTTATCTCTCTGTCCACCACTGAAGTGATGTTAATTTCTCCAGTCCGAGGATTAATAGTGAACACTCCATAAGGTGGTCGATCAATTCCTGCCCCAGAAATGCGGTATGTAATCCTCTGGTTCACCTCACAGTCTGATCGAATCTACAAGGAAGATGGCTGGGATTGTGACCTAATTTAGAGCAGGTCATGAACTGCAGAGCATAGTGCAGGGAGAAGCGAATGGGATTTGTAGCCAGGCAGACTTTTAGACTGAAACCAGGCATCATGATTTAGGCCTCCAGGATCTTGGAAAATTCACTGAACTTTGTCAAACACCAGCTTCTAAGGATAAACCTATCCTAGGTTTGTTGTAGGGACTGTCTAAGGTCACATATTTGTACACCCCACCCCAATGCCTGGCATATGGCACTTTTGTAACTTGATGTTAGATTTTATACAATTACCAGTACATTGTTCAGTTCTCTGATTTTCTTTGCATATAAACAGTTTGACAGAAGAAATCCTCACCTTTACTATTTTTTAAAAAAAAGATTGTGTTATATTAACATGTATTTTGCTTAAACTTTAGAGATTTTATCAAGATTATGATAAATTTAGAAAACCGGAAATGTTTAGAGATACTGGCATTAATTTTATGAATTGAAGCCCACTATTTTGGTCATCTGCCAAATAGATTTATGTCAAATATTATGTCATATAGGTTTTTAAAAACAGTCTTAATCTATTGCTCATAAATTTAAACAAAGATAGTTTAAATTTTGAGACCTCACCCACATACTAAAGATGAGAACACTTGGTAAAATTCTAAGATTTCTTCCCCAAGCATCCACAATTAAATAAAGACAGCTGGAAATACAGTTTGGATTAGCTCCATGCTAATCCAAAGACTTTATGTAGATGAAAATCCAGGAAATCCCTCAAATGCAAATAAAAAGAAAGGAATATGCCATATCAATGGGATGACATATGGTCTAACTGGAAGTTGAATAGAAACAACAACAATTTAAAGCTTTCCAAAAGTTGCCAAAAATGTGAAAAGTTCCGAGAGTGAATAAATAACCTCTTTTCTTGAGTTGAGGTTATATGTGTAACATCACTGTATATGCACATTTAAGCTATGTGGAAATGTAAGGCTTTAAGGAGAGAATTCTGGTAGGTCCCCCTTCTGCTGATTTCACTGGTGGGGCTCAGGGTGCCCAGGAAGAGCTAGGGAACCTGTTAATGTGGATCCCATCCTTTGCGGATTAATTTGTAACACATTCTTCCCTTAACTCTCCTTCCTTATTGATTGCCATAAGAATCTAGTGGAAACTTTTGACCCTATCTTTACTTTCTTGGAGAGAATTAGTCAGTACCATAAACCTTTGATTTTGGGGAGGGATGGTCAAAGACTCTCCTTACATGAGTACATGTCCTATAAGGCAATACATGACAAGGAGAAGAGAAGAAAGGAACGGAACAAGCCCAGCCGTGCCACATCTCTCCAGGACTGCTCAGGGACACTGGTTCTGTGCCAGCTCCCAGAGGTGATATTCAAAACTGTCTCAGCAACACGAGCACTGGCTCCATGTCCCCGTCTCCCTAAATGACCGTGTAGTCGTGAAGGCTGCAGGTCCTTGGGGTGTCGGAGGGCTTTGCTGCTGTGCTCCAGCACCCGTCATCAGCACGCACTCCTGTTTATTTGATCACTTACTCTGGCAATTGGATTCCTCCTGGAGTTGTCCTCTCCTTCTCGACAGGCTGCAGCAAACTTGATCCACTCCCGCTTTTGTCTTCTGACAGTCTGCCATTTTGTGGTGCCATTTTCAATGTCTAACTCCTTCACCTTAAGCAAAAACAGTTCACGTTTCATACAGAGTGAGCGTGATTTTACTTAGTAATTTATTCCACAATGTAAGATGCACCCAGAAGAAGCAACGGTATTGAATTTGAGGAACAAACTTTTTACTAATTCACAACTCTGTGTAGATACAGCTTGGTTCCCTGACTAATTTTTTTGGAATCACTACATTTTTAACTATATGATTCCAGTGAAATGGATGTCACTAGTTATGTGTTACATTGGGTAAGAGGTTTCAGTTTTTCTTCAATGTCTCCTCACCAGGTGGAGGCCCACATTATCCTTCACTGAGCTCTGACCAGGCCTGCTGGTCTCCAGGTAAGGGACTGCCAGTGAATGTGTCCCATGCACAGGAAGGCTGTGCTGGTGAGCGCATGCTGACCTACAACGGGAGGGATGTTCCTCTTAGTTGTAAGGACACCACTCTGGCTAAGCATTCAAATATATTATTACAGGAGTAGACAAATATTTTAACTGAACTGATGGTGTCTGTAGTAGGCCTATGAACACCTATAAGGCATCTTGTGTTGTCCTTTGCTTCTCTGCCTGCTATGTGCTTTTCTCTTTGTAGTCTTCTGTTGCTATTAAAGGATGTTTAAGAATTTTATAGCATTAGAGAGTTTAGACATATTGCTACATGCATAAACATATGCACATATATATGTATATCTTTTCAAACTAACTCCTACTGTGCTTATTGAGACATAGATGGCTGTCTGTTTAAGCTAGTACTTCATTTAATTACTACTCTGGGGAAGGAGATATTCCCTGTGAATGGAGCTTATCCTTCTGAAGAGTTAGACAATGAAAAGCATTTACCATTTCCCCCATTTTGATACTTCCTGAAATGTACCAGACATGCCTTATTTTGTCAAAACAGATTAGAAAAATAATTTTATTTTCTTCTGTGATTTGAGATCATCATTATGAAAGTGTAACAACTGCAATAAAAGCCCTGCCAGAGAGAGGGGACGGTTTTATTTCCTGAGTTACACTCTGCTTGATATCAGATTCTCTGTTGTAATCCCACATTTTTAATTTTTGTCTCTTTCCCTCATTGAATGACCACAGATGTCTTCCTTGCTGATGCAACTGTGTGAAAACACTCTTCCCCTTTGAACATGTTACTTTTGCTTTGCTTTAATTTGGGGAATGTGCTAAGAACCTGCTAGTATAGTTTGATAAGTAGGAGTTACTGTGACCCTGAGCCACCACAAACCACGCCTATGGCATGGACACCTGAGCGCACGGTTTCACTGCTGCTATTTCAGTCCAGCAGAAGTTCTTACTCTTAACTGTCATCAGGATGGTTATGGTTATGGTTACAGATATTTTGAATAGTTTGATATGTGATGCATCATGCAATTCAGGTTTTCTTTCAATATTAAGTTAAGAAAATAGTTTTAGTATACATTACCTCGACAATAAACTCACTGTTTACCTCCAGCACCACCTGTTGAAGAAGGCACAATTCTATTAGCATAAACTCATGTAACTTAAGAATTCACAAAACCATTGAGGGTGTTCTCTTAAATTCATTTCTTAAATATATATTTTGTTAGTAATATAGAATAAACATGGGTAATAATGCAAGATGAGTAATACACACTTTTGCCCTCCAAAGGCTTTTAAACTTTCAGGGAAGACAAACACGTAACCGAGCGGAGCTGGGGCAGAGACAGCGCTTCAGCAGAGACAGCAGTGTCTTGGTGGGAGGATAAAGCAGACAACTCAAATTGTCAAAGTGAATTCTGGGGAGGCCTCATGGGAGAGCAGGCACTGGAAAGGGCTCTGTTGGATGAAGCTGCTTTGATAAGAGGAATGATGGGGAAGAAAATTTCAGCCAGGGTAAAACAGGAGCATAGGTGTACAGGCACGATGTTTCTGACTGTGTTCCAGAAATGGTAGACGACATCATTGGCTGGGAGGCAGGAGAAATAGTGAGGAGACGTGGGGGAAGGACTGGAATGTCGGTTTGGGTGCAGATCATGAAGTGCTTTATAGGCTACAGGCCTATGGAGTTCTGTTTTGCTGGTGAAGAAACAGGCAGTGACAAACACATTGTTTGTAAAACATGTCATTGACATGAAGGGACAGTTACAAGGGAAAGCACTAGAAGGAGAGACACTCCCACAGTTTGTAGGGGAAGGGGCTGTGTGGGGGAGGGCACAGGTGGGAATTTGGAATGACAGCTGAATACAGAAGGGGGAAAATACACACTAGAAATCTGTCAGCAGGTCATAGTGTTTCCCTCTTAACTCGCTTTCTCCCATCCCTGCGTGTTGTAGCACAGCTGCATGAATCTCATTCTGTGAAGAACAGTTATGGGCTCCTGGATAATTTAAAAAATCCCTTGCCTGTAAAAGTCACCTTCTAGAGTCTGTGGGTCACACGTTATCCTACGATGTGGTTTGGCCCTAGGGCCTGGCTAAAAGATGTCGCACAAAAGGGAGGTGGCTGAACCAGCTGCCATTATGGTGGAGTGCCAGGAAAGGGAGTTAGAGGCAGTAGAAGGGGCAGAAACGACCCGGGGAGATGTTTGGTGTCCTGAGTGGGTTACAGTCTCTGCTGATGAGGTGGACCCTCAGGCTCATTTGATGCTCACTAACTACATAAGATTGCCTGTTAGCCTGTAGGTGGGAAAGATGGTGAAGGGACTTAGCGAAAAAGATGAGTTAGAAATTCAACCCAGTCATTCATTCAGAATTGTCATCAGTAAAATATTAGATGACCGGCCGACTTGATGAGAGTGTTTTCTGCCTGTCTTCTTCCTTTGGACATCCTTACAGTGAATGGCATTAACCGAAACAGCCTGAGGAGGACTTTTTCTGCTAAGATGAAAGTAGCTAAGAAGCCAAAATGTATGTGTCTCTGCTAACCTCTGAGAACATGGTGGAGACTGAGGCAGAGTACCTGCCCAGAAGGGGTTCACAGATTAAAGAGGGGGGAAAAGAGACAAAGAAGAAAAGATGTGGCCACATTACAGATACAAAAAAACCCATGTACAGGATACAGCATTGGCCTGATCAAGCAAAGGAGCTGGTCCTGAAGAGTGGATAAGGTTTTGTACATAGTATTGGGTTCAAATTCTGACTGTGCAACTTACAGTACATGCATGAACATTCATGCCCTGGGAGTTTCTTTATTTGTAAAATGAGGATACTTCCATTTAGCATTCAGGATTTTTGTTACGTGTGTGAAATAACTTTGTTAGCTGTAAAATGTTTTCCTGCCATAGGGCAGTGAAATGGGAATGCAAGACTGACCGAATCCAGGGAACTGGCTACTGGGTCATCTCGATTTTAAACCCTCACTAACCACATAAAGTTGCCCGTTTACATTTAGGTGGGAAATAATGGTGAAGTGACTTGGTGAAAAAGATAAATTAGAAACCAACACCAATCATTCACTCAAAAGTTTTCATCAGTAAAATATTAGACAGGCATTGTCCTTTGTATGCAAGACAAAATCCCAACCATCACGACATAGACATTGCAGGGCCAGTTATAGGATTCACAATATTCTGTAGCATCTGACTTCTGGAAAATTGCTCAAGTTTTTCTGGGCCTAGTTTCTTTTTTCAATACTCTCTCCTGAAGAGAATTTCTCCTAAAGAGAATTCCATAAGCTATGTGGAATCTAAATCATTGTGTCCTTATTACAATAAGAGTACATATTATTATTTTACATACTGAGTGTATTTAAAGTAGCAGCAACTGAACAGGCTATTTTTCCTCTCCGTGACTTACCTTTTTGAAGTTGGTTTTTGATGTCATCTGCATATGAGGACTGACTTATTAATAAGCAGTTCTCTCTTGCGTCATACTTATAAAAATCATTGAGTAAAGCGTTTGCTGGCCTCACAGGGATATGGTACAGATGCCAAGTTCAAGCCTAATTATATCACTTTTGTTTGTAATTGAAGGTATATCCAGAAGTGGCATTGCAGTCTGTAAGCCGTGTAATTTTCTGTGTAGGAAAGAAGGGCCTGCATTTCTCATGCAGGTTACTATTTGAAGGTTCCACTCCAGCCGCTCCGTCATCAGGGCTGCTGTGGGTGAGCAATCCGAGCTGGGACCCACTTGAGAAAGGGGAGGAAACTTCCCTGCAGCTGGACCAGCAGTATGATCGCTCTGTAAGGAGCCCCTCCCTGCACACTTAGGGCCTAGAGAGGATGCAGAGGACTGTGTACTCAGAATCGGGAAGTTCTCTGAGAGAGAAACATCTTTGGAAAAGAGGAAGCATTGCAGAATCTTAAGAACCTGAAATATTTTTGGAGCAGGATTTTTATCCTACAACTCCACAGGTAGATACTGTTGACAAGATGGTGTTAAAGTTATAGGTCAGGCTATGGTGATAATACTAGATATCTCTTGGGATATAAATGTTTTTAGTTCATCATGAACTCTGCAGGAATTTGAAGGTAAAAATAGAAAAGTGTACACTTGGTTTAAAATATGTTTTCTAGTTTCTTAGCCACTTACATCAATAATAAAGTAAGAGGTGAGATTTGCTTCCATGTAAACAGTGTGATGAGAGCATCAGTTTTCTGTAACAAGCCCTATGGAAACCAATTATGTAAGCTATCCAGATTTCTGCTTAGGACCTAAAACGCCCATCAGATAAGGTGTTTTTTCCCCCTCATCAGTCTATACGTCTAGAAATTTGCCTGACAATAAAATAAATTTCTGTTCCACATGTCAGAATCACATTGTTTTATGTGGAAGTTAAATTGCTAAGTGGCTAGCTTAGTTCCAAATATGTTTTTTAATTTTAATGCCTGTTTTCAACTTACAGTAAGGTAGTACCTCACTTAGTCACCTAACTTCTTTAACTTCCTGAGAATCACAATATTTAGTTGAAATGTTTACACTACATATGTGGCATGAGTGATCACTATGTGTGCACAAAAATTCTTATCTGATAAAGCTACATGGCTGTTTTTCATGATCTTATCAACTCTGTAAAATACAGGCCTCTCACAGCTAATACCTGTTCTGCCTTAAGTGATTCTTTTGTAGTAAAACTACAAAATCCATAGCATGACCTAAGTTTGATTCTCCAAACTAAGTTATGAAAATAATATTCGGGAGCTAGCTATGAGCTTCTGCTATGTAACTATCTGGTAGAAATAATTACAGAATCTCAGAGTTTCTGTATTGGGAGAAATTTAGTGCTGTCATGCCCAACCACGCATCCCTATGTGGGGCACGCGAAGCTGGAGAGGCTGAGTGCCTCAGCACAGGTACCCAGCCCCGGGGCCTCCACACCTGCTCTGCTGACTGCTCGAACCACCCCATCCGTTTTACAGCAGAACATGGCCAACACCCTCAGAAAGAAGACCAAAGGACTCATGATAAAAGGAAACACCTTAGTAGCTGGGCATTTGGGGGTATCTTTTATAGGTTGTCAGTCAAATTCTTGCTTCAAGTACTCCTTGTGGGTGAGATCCAGATGACACCAAGTGCTTGCAGAGGCTGCCACACCCTCCTCAGGGCCAGTGATGACCCAGAGAGCCTTTGGTTTAGTTCAGAGAGAAGGGGCAGAGTTCAAGTTCAGCAGATGAAAGACAAGCAGGCATATGCCTATTTTATACAACATCCATAATATGACATAGATTCTCTGCAAACATTTCTTGCCTTTGCTCCAGTCTTGAAACATGCTGGAATTTTCTGCTTCCTAATTCTAAAACTTACTAACTGATATCTTAAGGGATGTTAGAAATACAAAAAAGAACTTAAATCTATCACAATTACCAAGAAAGTGTAAAACACAAATACTTCAGCATCAGTGATGAGTAGGAAGAAATTAAGTATCAAGAACACTAAAATTACTAAGGAAAATAAAAGAATACTGCCAAAAAGGAATCCCGAGAATCTGTAATGTAATACTCTTTCAGGATCAAGGAGAAGAAAAATTAACTCTTCAGCTGAACTCAGCAGGTGAAATTTAGTGCCTCTGAAGTTGCCTCTACAATACTGATGCAAGCAATCAGTTTTCATTACAGAAAATGGGAGGCTTATCAGAGTTGACGCACGGAAATAAACACAGAACTATAACAAGAGGTCTATACTGAAGTTTTTTTACTTCTATTAAATATCATGTCAGATTTTCCTCTCATCTTTAAGTAAATAATGACCACTGTAACAGGATATTGCACTTCTGTGTGAAGTTTTTAAGTTTACAAATTTGTTTTTAAATGGTCTTGTTTCCTGGTCTGTGTCTCAAGCTCAGATAATGGAATGTTCTAGCACCCTGCTTCTGGAGTTCTCAGAAATGTGCGCTCCAGGAGAATGGCACCTGGCTGGCCAGCAGGACAGTGGTGCGCCTCCCCTCCCTGGCCTCCGCCGCCCTCTGCCTTGTCAAACCCATGTTTCGGAGGCTCTGTGCAAAGCCACCTGCTTGAGAACAGGTGGAAATCACTTTCCGAGCTTATCTTGCAGCAGTGATGACATTTCTGGGAGACAGGGCAGCCAAGTTTAGGGTATTTGCCTTTATCTGCTTTGAAAAATGTACAATTTCCTAAAAATCCCCTTCTCTTATCTTTCCAATTATACACTCTTAACAGTTTTAACCGAATTGTGTCATTTGACCATCAAGAGGCTTAAGTCTCATCTAGTCTAATCTAACTTAATTGATTCTTCAAACAGACTTCTCTGGCTGAATTGGTGATAGTCGGGTGCATCGCTAAGCTTGCCCCTTGCCCCTCTGAGCACTGGGTGCTGGGGCCGCCTGGCCCTGCTGAGGATGGGACATTGGCTTCTCGATGCCCCTCTGGGAGGCACGACACATCTCGGGTATCAAGGCTTGGAGGAAAGTAATGGAAGATTCAAAATGCCATGTTTACTTTAAAGAAATAGACCCTCTAAATGTTTCCTTCCTGGACAGTGGGGGTGTTTTGATAATGCCAGAAAGGGCTTGGCTCACTTTCTTCATTTTTCTTTATCCATTTCTGACTGGAAAAAAAATTTCTCTTATAACAAATATTTCACAATGAGTCGCAATGTAATTTTGACATAGTTAACATTCATTCAACCTTGAAGCTAACTCACAGGGAAATAACTGTTTAAAAGGAAAGGGCTTGACCAACTGACTTTCCTACAGATGTAAGACACATTTGCTCTGGGAATTCTGACAGCAATCTGTCTGACTTAAGTACAAGAAAGTAGAAAAATAATTTTATTTCTGATTATAAGTTTTAGAACTCTTCTAGCATTTGTTCTGAATTAGATCATGCCTCTGACGCCATCTAGGTCTAATTTGGCCACTTTCCCACACTGCTTCCCTGTGGCCCAGGCCCCTCGGGCACGGAGAGACCTTTGAGGCCACCAGAGGTTACTTGCATGGACCTCTCTTTGCAGGAAGGGATTTAAAAATGGAATAAATCCCAAGTGAAAGTCCGGCACCTGACAGAGGAGAAAAGGCCTCAAGGCTGCATTTCCTTCCCAGGTCTTGAATTCTACTTACCATTAAAATGATCAACAGGCCAATGTTCCAGAAAAGGAGCCAGTCCATTCCTTCGGTTTCTCTAGACACGAACCCCTGCGAGATTCTGTTTTAGTCCCAATCCTCTCTGGGTCCTGAATTTGGCTCTGTAGCGAGATGGACTTCGAGATGCCCTTTGAGGAGGGCCTGGGCGACGACACCGGTGCCTTCTGGGCAGAGGAACAAGATGCTCTATAATGACTCTGTGTCCCCACCCGGACTCCGGGCCCGTCTGGAAGGCTGGCCTTGTTCGGGTTCTGGGTAGGAACGTAGACACGCCTCGATTCTTATTGCAATGAAACCCTTTGTTGGACACCAAAGAAAAATCTTACAGAGTGAGGACAAGATTTACAGGGAAGATACCCAATGAATAATAAATTACTCACGACATGAAAAATAATTAAAATGTTAGGGCCTATCATCATGCTGAATAAAATTAGTAGTCTTATTCTTACTGTCAACATTGTAAAAGCAAAATTACACAGACGGACACACATGTCCACTACAGAACCCACTTCAAGGCCTGACGCTTTGAGCGGAGGACCTGTGGAAAGGCCGCAGAGCTAAGTGTGGTGGAGGCAGGGGGGCCAGTGAGCCTCTCGCCTCTCCCTCAGGGAACTCCTGCTTCCCTCCTTGGGCAGTCCTGTAGTGGAACTGCATTCCTCAATTTTAAAGATGTTGTGAAAAAAATAAGGTCAAGACAAGGTGATTCCACTAGTTTGTTTGTTTCCACATTTTAGCCTCGTCTTTTTCCTACACACAGTTGAACTTGGGTGGAAATAACCAATAATAATAACAATAATAAGTAACCACAGTATGGTCTGCTCCCTACTCACAGCGCGTCCACGGATGAAGTCCGTGACATGGGCCAGGAACACCTATTCCACCGTCACAAGCCCTTATGAAGGAGCAGCTGAGGTTGGAGACCTGAGAATCTGAGGGAAAAGGCCAGGGCAGCCTCCGGATCATACCGGAAAACGTTTCCTCTTTTTCATTTCTCTTCCCCTTTGTTAGTGTGGGTTTAGAATAGGTAGCTTCCTCATGAAAAAACTGCAGGCTGGCCCTTAGCATCAGTAAACGTCAAGGGGAAATGCAGCTGCGGGTTCTCTGATTGCCAGTGCTGGGCTGGAGGACCTCGAGGGACCACCCCCTCCCAACCCACCCCCCGTCTTCACCGCCCCACCTGCATCTCAGGAGCCCAACAGGCTCCATCTCTAGCGCTTCTGGGAGCTTAGGGAAGAGCCGAGGCATTGAGAGGGCTGGCATAGTGTCCTAAGCAGAAGTGAATTACATGTTGAAGATATTTATGAGAAAGAGAGCAGGAAATTATATTTAAGAACTGGGAAGAAAATGAACTGTTACAAGAGGCAGTGCCCGAACCAAGCCTTATATTTGGTGATATCTGCCTAATCCAACCTTGTATAAGCCGACCTGATAAACCATGCGTATGAGATTGTTTTTTAAAATACACCTCCAGGTGGCCCTGCGGATTATCTAGAAAGCCAACACACATAGATATTCCCTGCTTGGTTGATGAACCTGCTCTTTCATTTCTGCTGGATAGGTCTTTAAAAGAAAAGTTATAGACAGCTGTGTGAGTAAACAAGAGTTTAAAAAAATTCTTCTGTAACCATTTTATATCCCACTGAACTTTCATCCTTCATTTTCATGAATTTTTGCCCAGAGGTTTGAAAAGTGACCTTTATATCTGCCACAGAAAAGTTTTCTTGAATGGCTAGGCCAGAAGAGCATTGGATCATTTTTCCCCTTGAGATGTGTCCCCAGGAATAATGCCAGTGAGCCCCCCTTACTTGTTTCTGTGTGGGAAGGGCAAAGGGTGCTGCTGCCTGAGGGGGTTTCCAGGGGACAGGGTGGCGGGACAGGGTCCTCTGCAGTCCAGCCTGGCAAGGACCTTCTCATTGGCTGCAGTTCTGTCATGGCCGTGTTTTTTTATTTTTGTGCACAGCATTTGACTTACTTGAGGTGGTGAGGGACACTGAGGATCCTCACTGCATCAGTGAGGGCTGTTCCTTAGCCAGCTGTGTGTATTTCTATCCCTAGAAACGCCACAAACCCCTCTGGAAGTATTGGTGCCTTGTGGAAACGATACGTGCAGGACTGCTTAAGATTTCAATTATGGAAACTCACGAGAAACACCAAAAAAGGGCAAGAATTCTACCTCCTGATATATGGTCGTTTATAGAAATACTGAGCCACTTTTTAGCATTGGCTTAGATATATGACAGCAACATAGAAAAGAGCTGGTGGCTGAATGTTATTATCATTTAAAGAAGACTCTTTACATATTTTAGAGTTTACCAGGCTCTTGAGTTTAATAGCTGGCTGTGCAAGTAGAATTTTTAGAGTGAAGTTTGTCCTGTTATTTATGTTTGATGCCAAACCAGCGGCGTTTCATTTGCTCACATGAAAGTGGACATTGAATTTCAGGGGTGTTCTTGATATTTAATTATTGTTCTTGTGCTTCTGTAATATTGCCTCGTCCTGCTTTTAGGTAGTAGGACATTTTCATTCTGCAATTACATCCATCTAAAACATAGTAAGTGCTTTAACACTGATATTTTTAAAAGTAATGCCATAGGAGACAGATAACTCAATATGTTCTAGTACAAATTATTTTTGAAAAGAGGACATATAACCTATATAGGCCACTATTGTTTTCAGGAAAATGATATCAGGACAAAGTTTTCCATCAAATCATCAGAGTTCAGGGTTAATGGTAGGTACATTTAAGTATCCCAGGGCAGCTCTAGTTCTTAAAAGCAGGTGTTAGAGGAAAGGAAATTAAAATAGTATTTGTGGTCCTAAATGATGTTTGTCAAATGCAATAGGCCAGTAGGTTCTGGAGCTGACTCATGCAAAAGGGTTTAGTTACCACTGGCTTGGGGGATGGACAAAAGGTAAATAAACAAAGCTTGTCATGGTTAAGACCTAGGGCTTGTGCATACATGCCTGACTGCTGGCTCCCCTTGGGGTAATGGCACTGAAGATAAGTACCCCGTCTCCTCATTAAGGCCAAATTACGTTTGGCAACTAGGATGCCAGCAAACCCAGTTATTTAATGGGTTAGAAATACTGGAGATTAAACATCAGGTTCCTAAAGTTATGTTAATACCATAAGGATGATGTTAGATCACACCCTAAAATCATATTTACACCCTGAGAGAGGTGCCCTGTTGACTGTCTGTATGACTTCACGTCCTGGGGGCGAGATGTCTTCCAAGAAAGTGCAGACAGAATAGCGTGTCTTCCAGCTCTGAATGGATTAAAGTGTATACTTAATCCTGATCACGTACTTGCTGCCTGCTTATCCCGAGAAGTGTCATCTTCACCGCCCCTCTGCCTCCTGATCGTGATGTGGCAGCTGCCCCACAGTGTGATAGTTCCTACATCCTGCTGGCTGCTTGGACGGCGTAGCAATGCTCCAGTTCCGCAAACCTGTGGTGTGTGTCTGCCCACTTCTGATGCTACTTAGTTATGCATCCAGCGGGCTCTGGATGGGTTCTGGGAAGAAATCCCAGAATAAACAGTCAAAAGCAAGGAAATATACTTCTTGGGTTACTTACACCAAAATCATATGGTAAGAAAATAAGTAGAAAATGAAGATTTCTTGGCCCCAGATTTACTGAATCAGAATGTCTGCAGGTGGGACTAGAATCGTTCATTCTTAACATGCTGTCCAGGCAACTCGGCAGCTGTGGGCTCAAGTTCAAGAACCGGGCCAGGAGGATCAGCCTGTGGAGGAAGAGCAGCAGGTGCCCTGTAGTTTCTCTAACACAGCGTTAGCATTTCTGCTTGGGTACTGGCTATTTGAGTTTCTTTTTATGTGAAAAATTCACTTCCTTTTTCCTTTTTCTCCCTGTGTTATTGATACCTTTAATTGGTTTATAAACACTCTCCATATACAGGAGAAATTAACTTCTGCTTTATGTGTTGGGGCTGTTTTTTCCTTAGTTTTTTCTCTTTCGAGCCTGTTTTGTAAATATATACACATTGCAATTAAGAATGATTCTGTTTTTACTTAGAATAGGCTGTTAGAAACAATCCTGCTCTCTCTTATGTTGCTGCAGTAATAAATTATCACCGACTTGGTAGCTGAAAACAACACAAGTTCATCATCTTGCGGTTTTGAAAGTCGGAAGTCCAGAAGGAACCTTAAGGGCCAGCAAAGGTGCAGGCAGGGCTTGAATTCTGGAGGCTCCAGGGAAGAATCGTGCCCTGGACTTTGCTGCTCTGGGGAGCCTTCAATTCCGTTCCGGCCGTCCCCTCCTTCGGCCTCACATCTCTTTATATCAGCATGTGCGCCGTCTCCCTGGGTGTATGCAGGCAGCAGAACTGCTGGGGCATCCATTAACCTTCTTTAACTTGTTTTCCCAGTGGCTACACCAGTCTGAGCTCCCACCAGCAGTTGAAGAGGGTCTGCTTTGCTCAGCAACACATGCAGGGAAAGTTTTGTCAACTTTTAAATTTCAGCCCGCATGCAGGATGGGTGCTTGTATCTTGTATGAGCGTCCCTGATTACTGCTGGGCTGCACAAACACACTCGGATTATCATTAGGACTGCATCATATTTTACAATTAATTAGAAATGTCAAAATTTCAATTTTGAGTCATGTATTGGAATCCAGAAACTAGGACTGCCTCTTCATATTTTTAGGTTTTATTTAATAAAGTTCTGTTATGTTTTCATTGTTAAGGTCTTACAGAGACATTTTTGAGACTTATTTCTTGTTACTAGTACAAATGTATTTTCTCTAATTTCTAACATTCTAACATTGTTTTCTTGCATGTAGAGATGCAATTGATTTTGGCCTTTTGTGTATTCAGCAATTTTGCTAACCCTTAGTTTAATATGAAAAATACATCTGAAGATTCTTTTGGATTTTTAGCTACACAATTATTTAATTTGACAATAATGACAGATTGAGACTTTGATAGTGAGCATCATATTTCCCTTATTTATTTCATAGAGGAACCTTTTAATACTATGCCATTAAGTTTAATACTATTTC